TCTCAGAAAATGAGAATATCACATGCAATCAATAAAACAAGGATTGTACATAGAACAATATCGGACCTCTGAACAGTATAAGCATGCATATGTACTCAGTACTTGGTTTGGGCCCCTTTTGCAGCAATTACTGCCTCAATGCGGCGTGGTATGGAAGCTATCAGTCTGTGGCACTGCTGAGGTGTTATGGAAGACCAGGATGCTTCAATAGCGGCCTTCAGCTCTTCTGCATTGTTCGGTCTCATGTCTCTCATCTTTCTCTTGGCAATGCCCCATAGATTCTCTATGGGGTTCAGGTCAGGCGAGTTTGCTGGCCAATCAAGCACAGTAATCCCACGGTCATTGAACCAGGTTTTGGTGCTTTTGGCAGTGTGGGCAGGTGCCAAGTCCTGCTGGAAAATGAAGTCAGCATCTCCATAAAGCTTGTCTGTGGAAGGAAGCATGAAGTGCTCCAAAATCTCCTGGTAGATGGCTGCATTGACCCTGGACTTAATGAAGCACAGTGGACCAACACCAGCAGATGACATGGCTCCCCAAATCAACACAGACTGTGGAAACTTCACACTGGACTTCAAACATCTTGCAGTGTGTGCCTCTCCATTCTTCCTCCATACTCGGGGTCCTTGGGCCTCTCCATTCTTCCTCCATACTCGGGGTCATTGGGCCTCTCCATTCTTCCTCCATACTCGGGGTCCTTGGGCCTCTCCATTCTTCCTCCATACTCGGGGTCCTTGGGCCTCTCCATTCTTCCTCCATACTCGGGGTCCTTGGGCCTCTCCATTCTTCCTCCATACTCGGGGTCCTTGGGCCTCTCCATTCTTCCTCCATACTCGGGGTCCTTGGGCCTCTCCATTCTTCCTCCATACTCGGGGCCCTTGTGCCCCTCCATTCTTCCTCCATACTCGGGGTCCTTGGTTTCCAAATGAGATGCAAAAGTTGCTCTCATCAGAAAATAGGACTTCAGACCACTGAGCAACAGACCAGGTCTGTTTTTCTTTAACCCAGGCAAGACGCTTCTGACGTTGTTTGTTGTTCAGGAGCGGCTTGACAAGAGGAATACGACATTTGAAGCCCATGTCCAGGATCCGTCTGTGTGTGGTGGCTCTTGATGCACTGACTCCAGCCTCAGTCCACTCCTTGTGAAAGTCCCCAACCCTTTTGAATGGCCTTTTCCTGACAATCCTCTCCAGGCTGCGGTCATCCCTGCTGCTTGTGCACCTTTTTCTTCCACACTTTTCTCTTCCACATAACTTTCTATTAATGTGCTTTGATACAGCACTTTGGGAACATCCAACTTCTTTTGCAATTCCCTTCTGAGGCTTTCCCTCCTTATGGAGGGTGTCAATGATGGTTTTCTGCACAACTGTCAGGTCAGCAGTCTTTCCCATGATTGTGATTCCTACTGAACCAGACTGAAAGACCATTTAAAGGCTCAGGAACCCTTTGCAGGTGTTATGGCTTAATTAGCTGATTAGAGTGGGACACTTTGAGCCGAGAATATTGCACCTTTTCACAATATTCTCATTTTCTGAGATTGTGGATTTGGGGTTTTCATGAGCTGTAAGCCATAATCATCACAATGATGACAAATCACGGCTTGAACTATCTTGCTTTGCATGTAATGAGTCTATCTCATATATTAGTTTCACCTTTTAAGTTGCTGCACTGAAATAAATGAACTTTTGCACGATATTCTAATTTTTTGAGTTTCACCTGTATATCCAGCTTCACCTACATTACTGCAGATGCCTTTTCCTTAAAGTGGAAGTCCGGGCTAAACCTATCTAAGTGTAAACCTGCCGTCCCCATTCCAAGCCCAATACTAACCAGCCTGGAAAGGAAAGTTGTGCAGACTTACCTGCTCCCAGAGCACTCCGGTCCGCTCATGTGATCTCCCCAGTGACCAGCTTTAGGCTGCAATGCCAGGACGGTGACTTCACCTATAGTCTTACTATGAGGCATCCGTTGTCGGCTGACCCTCCTCTATCCTGATGCCGGTGAAGGGACCCGATCATGTGACCGGACCACAGTGGCCGGGGGAAGATGTACTGTGAATGTGCGGAGCCGGGGGAAATGTATTGTGAATGTGCGGAATCGGGGGAAATGTATTGTGAATGTGCGGAATCGGGGGAAGATGTACTGTGAATGTGCGGAATCGGGGGAAGATGTACTATGAACGTGCAAAGCCAGGGAATGTACTATGAATGTGCGGAGCTGGGGGAAATGTATTGTGAATGTGCGGAATCGGGGGAAGATGTACTGTGAATGTGCGGAATCGGGGGAAGATGTACTGTGAATGTGTAAAGCCAGGGAATGTACTATGAATGTGCGGAGCGGGGGGAAATGTATTGTGAATGTGCGAAGCCGAGGGAAATGTATTGTGAATGTGTAGAGCCGGGGAAAGATGTACTATGAATGTGCAGAATCGGGGGAAGATGTGCTATGAATGTGCAAAATCGGGGGAAGATGTGCTATGAATGTGCAGAATCGGAGGAAGATGTGCTATGAATGTGCGGAGCCGGGGAAGATGTGCTATGAATGTGCGGAGTCGGGGGAAATGTATTGTGAATGTGCGGAGCCGGGGGGAAGATGCACCGTGAACTGGCGGAGCTGGGGGAAGATGCATTGTGAATGTGCGGAGCTGGGGGAAGATGCATTGTGAATGTGCGGAGCTGGGGGAAGATGCATTGTGAATGTGCGGAGCTGGGGGAAGATGTACTGTGAATGTGCGGATCCGGGGAAAGATTTACTGTGAATGTACAGAGCCGGGGAAGATGTACTGTGAATGTGCAGAGCCAGGGATGATGCATTGTGAATGTGTGGAGCCAGGGATGATGCATTGTGAATGTGTGGAGCCAGGGATGATGCATTGTGAATGTGTGGAGCCAGGGATGATGCATTGTGAATGTGTGGAGCTGGGGGAAGATGTACTGTGAATGTGCAGAGTCGGGGATGATGCATTGTGAATGTGCGGAGCCAGGGAGGATGCATTATGAATGTGTGGAGCCAGGGAGGATGCATTATGAATGTGTGGAGCCAGGGATGATGCATTGTGAATGTGTGGAGCCAGGGATGATGCATTATGAATGTGTGGAGCCAGGGATGATGCATTATGAATGTGTGGAGCCAGGGATGATGCATTGTGAATGTGTGGAGCCAGGGATGATGCATTGTGAATGTGTGGAGCCAGGGATGATGCATTGTGAATGTGTGGAGCTGGGGGAAGATGTACTGTGAATGTGCAGAGTCGGGGATGATGCATTGTGAATGTGTGGAGCTGGGGGAAGATGTACGGTGAATGTGCAGAGTCGGGGATGATGCATTGTGAATGTGTGGAGCTCGGGGAAGATGCACTGTGAATGTGCGGAGCCCGAGGGAAGATGCACTGTGAATGTGTGCGGAGCTGGGGGAAGATGTACTGTGAATGTGCAGAGTCGGGGATGATGCATTGTGAATGTGTGGAGCTGGGGGAAGATGTACTGTGAATGTGCAGAGTCGGGGATGATGCATTGTGAATGTGTGGAGCTGGGGGAAGATGTACTGTGAATGTGCGGAGCCCGAGGGAAGATGCACTGTGAATGTGTGCAGAGCGGGGGGATGATGCATTGTGAATGTGCGGAGCTGGGGGAGGATGATGTAATATGAATGTGCGGAGCCGGGGAAGATGCACCGTGAATGTGCGAAGCCGGGGGAAGATGAACTGTGAATGTACGGAGCCGGGGGAAGATGTATTGTGAATGTGCGGAGCCGGGGGAAGATGTACTGTGAATGTGCGGAGCCGGGGGAAGATGTACTATGAATGTGCGGAGCCGGGGGAAGATGTACTGTGAATGTGCGGAGCCGGGGGAAGATGTACTGTGAATGTGCGGAGCCGGGGGAAGATGTACTGTGAATGTGCGGAGCCGGGGGAAGATGTACTATGAATGTGCGGAGCCGGGGGAAGATGTACTGTGAATGTGCGGAGCCGGGGGAAGATGTACTGTGAATGTGCTCAGAGCAGCCCAGAGCAAACGCTAGGTAGCACTTTGTTTTGCAAACTTTGTCTGCATGGTCACGTCTTATACAGATCAGCCTCTTGCTGCAGCCTTCCCTCAGGTGATGTGCTACATTACACAGTATAGTCAGAGTGATTACTGAACCAGTGGGGATTGAGGGAAAGTTTCCTCTTGCCTTTGAGCAGGAGGACCTGAATATTAGAGGCTGATGTGTGAAATTTAATATATTACGCTGTCAAAATTTAAAAAAAAAAAAGTTTTTTCTAATATTTTTTCTCCAGTTTTCCTTTTCCTATGAATATCATGTGCCGAGGATAATGCAGTTTTTGTAACGTGCGGAGTCTAGTTCAGATCTTCAACGTATTTTTTCCATGACTACGTACAAATAAAAACGGGAAATGGATTAACTGTCAAACCTTAGAGGCCTGGCCTTGGGCTGAGCAATTTGGAACCAACCATTCCTCCAGGTCCCAGAGAATTCTGAAATATGGAACTACAGGAAAGATTAGTCATATCTTGTGGTTTCAGCGCAGCATTTATAGAACTTCCATTTCTGCTTTCATGTGAATCAGAACAAACTGCAGAAATGACAAGTTAAAATATTGCTAAACCCACAACAGTACAATCAGTCTGTATATGCAGTAAAGCATGCTTGTTATACTCACTGTGAAACCTAAGGGGTTAATCCTCCACATTGTGTAAAAAGGATGTTTGATCCTGTCTTCTTTGATCCTCCCCTTCTTCAAGTGCCCCCTTCTTATCTCCTGATAAAACATATCGTGTGGAGTCATTGTGCACATGCTCAGTTTGGTGTGTTGTGTTAGAGAGGTTTTTTTCTCTTGGGAAAGTGCATGTGATCAGCAGAGGGCCAATCAGCGCTGTCCAGACAGAGGTCAGGGGTTCTGCATCCTCCTAGAGCAGAATGAAAACTCCTCCTAGAAAGCTTTAACCAGTGCTCTGATGGACACTGATAGAAGTCACAAGACTGCTATATTTACTAAACAATTGCATTTCTATGTTCTGTGTACTGTGGGAAACCGGATATAGTGAATGCAGGGTCCGGAGAGACCAGATATAGTGAATGCAGGGTCCGGGGAGACCGGATATAGTGAATGCAGGGTCCGGAGAGACCAGATATAGTGAATGCAGGGTCCGGGGAGACCGGATATAGTGAATGCAGGGTCCGGGGAGACCAGATACTGTATAGTGAATGCAAGGTCCTGGGAGACCAGATATAGTGAATGCAGGGTCCGGGCAGACTAGATATAGTGAATGCAGGGTCCGGGGAGACCAGATATAGTGAATGCAGGGTCCGGGGAGAGCGGATATAGTGAATACAGGGTCCGGGGAGACCAGATATAGTGAATGCAGGGACCGGGGAGACTGGATATAGTGAATGCAGGGTCCGGGGAGACCAGATATAGTGAATGCAGGGCCCGGGGAGACCAGATATAGTGAATGCAGGGTCCGGGGAGACCAGATATAGTGAATGCAGGGTCCTGGGAGACTGGATATAGTGAATGCAGGGTCCGGGGAGACCGGATATAGTGAATGCAGGGTCCGGGGAGACCAGATATAGTAAATGCCATGTCCATGGAGACCAGATATAGTGAATGCCATGTCCGAGGAGACCAGACATAGTGAATGCAGGGTCCGGGGAGACCGGATATAGTGAATACAGGGTCCAGGGAGAGCAGATATAGTGAATGCAGGGTCCGGGGAGACCAGATATAGTGAATGCAGGGTCCGGGGAGACCAAATACTGTATACTGAATGCAGGGTCTGGGGAGACCAGATATAGTGAATGCAGGGTCCGGGCAGACCAGATATAGTGAATGCAGGGTCCGGGGAGACCAGATATAGTGAATGCAGGGTCCGGGGAGACCGGATATAGTGAATACAGGGTCCATGGAGACCAGATATAGTGAATGCCATGTCCGAGGAGACCAGACATAGTGAATGCAGGGTCCGGGGAGACCGGATATAGTGAATGCAGGGTCCGGGGAGACCAGATATAGTGAATGCAGGGCCCGGGGAGACCAGATATAGTGAATGCAGGGTCCGGGGAGACCAGATATAGTGAATGCAGGGTCCTGGGAGACTGGATATAGTGAATGCAGGGTCCGGGGAGACCGGATATAGTGAATGCAGGGTCCGGGGAGACCAGATATAGTAAATGCCATGTCCATGGAGACCAGATATAGTGAATGCCATGTCCGAGGAGACCAGACATAGTGAATGCAGGGTCCGGGGAGACCGGATATAGTGAATACAGGGTCCAGGGAGAGCAGATATAGTGAATGCAGGGTCCGGGGAGACCAGATATAGTGAATGCAGGGTCCGGGGAGACCAAATACTGTATACTGAATGCAGGGTCTGGGGAGACCAGATATAGTGAATGCAGGGTCCGGGGAGACCGGATATAATGAATGCAGGGTCCTGGGAGGCCAGATATAGTGAATGCAGGGTCCTGGGAGACCAGATATAGTGAATGCAGGGTCCTGGGAGACCAGATATAGTGAATGCAGGGTCCGGGGAGACCGGATATAGTGAATGCAGGGTCCGGGGAGACCAGATATAGTGAATGCAGGGTCCTGGGAGACCAGATATAGTGAATGCAGGGTCCGGGGAGACCAGATATAGTTAATGCAGGGCCCGGGGAGACCAGATATAGTGAATGCAGGGTCCGGGGAGACCAGATATAGTTAATGCAGGGCCCGGGGAGACCAGATATAGTGAATGCAGGGTCCGGGGATATAGTGAATATAGTGGTGTTCACTATATACTTCTGCTACAGGGTGGAGGGCAAGTGGTTACGGCACAAATAACCTTGAACTGGAGAAACACTTTGTCCCGTGTTGCAGGAGGATGTTCTGTCAACAGTTTTGCATCCAGTGTTTAACATATTCAAAGATGACCGGAATTGTTAAAGCTGAGCCTAATAAAAGGCAAGCAGAGGGCAATGGACTAGTTATCAGTACTGCCTGTTATCTACTTGCAGCTGATATTTACTTACATTAGTAATTTGTAAGCAGGTGCAGTTAGCTAGTCGGCCAGAAGGTGTCTCTGTCTCAGAATAGTGTGGTAATAGGGAATTATGTAATGGGGTGTTAGGTCCTGTTTCAGACAAAGCCTTCCTGTAGTGATGTAACAGGCGGAGTTAGTGCCCATATATATACCAGGTCAGGAGGAGCCTAGGGCAATCAGGACATGGGAGTCAAACACACTAAACCTATGCAGGTGTAGTCAGCACAGCCAAGGCCCTGCAGAGGACAGAAGTCCCTGGGGGAGATAGTCCCATACCCACAAGAGCCATCTGTAGTCTTCCTGTCTTACTGAACATGGACTAAGTGGACTGGGAGTAGAAATGCAAAAGGCCTTTCAGGCTAGCTAGTGTACTATTGCCCCTGGAACTTCTGGTGAAACCTGGGTGAAGTGTACGGAATTAGAGCAGCAGCTGCAGCAGTCCTGTCTCTGGAATAACATGAAAGGAGTTGCGAGCTGGATATAGCAAGCCTAATGGGCAAGTGAGTGGCCTATGAATGAGTACTAATGGCCCAAATGGAGTGGGAGAGAGTGACACCACGACACTGGGTTCCAACACAGTGGTGCTCCCAAGGAGAGGGAAGAAATATTAAAGAAAATGGCTTAACAGTGATGTGCAATGTGTCTTTCACACTTGACTGCTGCGAACTGTCCACTATATGTGATTGGTGAAGAGTGCCAAGTCATGTGATGTATCACTGTCATTTTTCAAATGCTACAGTAAAGGCATTCTTTTCTTTGGAATATAGAGGCTAATGGTCGGTGATATCGTAGGAAGGCCTTTGGGAGTTGGGCACACATATGGCGGAGGCATTTGGGCTATAGCAAGGGTCGGTGTTCTATCAAAGAGGAAGCAGGGCAGGAGCTTGAGTAATTTGGCGCCAACTGTCAGCCAATCAGAAGCTCCCTTACATACTTACTAGGCCTTGTTATAATCTGTGTCTTGGTATGGAGGCTTTGCTTCATTATGATCAAGAAGCAGCAGCAAAAGTAGAAGAAGCAAATTCACAGAATGGATGGAAGCAGGAGCAGGGAGATCCTTGCACTGGGGTTCCTCAGGTGCAGCTTCCTCTCCAGCAAGGAGAACAATGACCAGAGCAGTAGAGACATCACCAAATCTCACTCCAAATCTAATAGGAGTATCAGGAAGAGGCAGCAGTGTTTTAGATGATCTCACGCTGCACATATACAGCCATAAGGCTGTAGAACATGAACGCCCAGGCTCATAAAGTACACTACTGTATTTCAGGAGAAATTAGATACAAAGACTGGGCATGGGCAAAATAAATACTTCTACAGTAGGTGTTTTACTATATGTTAGCCTATGAGTTCAGCTTTATGTTAGCTTTATGAGTTCAGGTCCACGTTAAGCAATAACTGATAGAAAAGACACATGACGGAAACATCGTATTCATAGTGGGCAACAACCCGAATAATATGTAATATTAATGCTGTAATATTATTCATTATTAAATAAAAAATGTACGTCCATTGTACTTCACCACCTGTCCCAGAATGTCTAAAGGGTCCTAAGTTAAAACTGAAACTGTGTCCTTAAACCCCGTTCTATTTCAGATGGGTGCCATTCCAGAGCTCTGGCTCCCCAACCAAGCCTGCCGTTCTCTGATCAACAGTATATGGTAGCCAGTGGTGATCCTGGTTTAATATTTTGCAAATGGCCCAGGGGATTATGAGATTGGCAAATGTTGCCCCATCATTGTTCCTCTGGAGATGAGCCAAAACCCATGGTGCCTCTTACCTGCTTCAGCCTTGCCATGAATGACCTGGGCCTTCGTGTTTATGTCAAAGACCACTCCACCAGTACATGCCTTGTAGTAAGACTATCTTTTGAAGGTGTATGGCCTCCTTCATTTCATGGATTGCAGTGGCCATGCCAGAGATTTTTCATTGAAGGCATTTTGCGGTCACGTGCTGAATAAGTACAGTAGCGGTCTTCCCAATTCTATCCATCATGGATAGTACACAAGGCTTAAGTGTTCATTAACCTGAGGTGAGTCTACTGGAATGTGCGCATGTTAATAGACACTTAGAATTGAAAGTGGCTTTAATGCATTTCAATTATCCGAAAAACAAGACCACTCGGTTTTGAAAATCTCAACCAGAGCAGGAATTGCCACACTCTGGCTCGCCCCTTCCTAATTCCTGAACTTACTACCAGGGGCGGACTGACAACTCATGGGGCCCCCGGGCAATAGGGGATCATGGGGCCCCTGTGTTCTTGCCCAAACTAAAAAAAGCCTATGAAAAAGGTACCAGGGGCATCTCATGGGGCCCCCTACTGACCCCGGGCCCTCGGGCAGTGCCCGAGTTTCCAAATGGTCAGTCCGCCCCTGCTTACTACTGGCAATGGCAATCAAGTGTGAAAGCAACCTAACCGCCAATGTTGAGGTGGGGAAGGTGGGGCTGGGGAATGGGGGCCTTAGGCATTGGGGTACTCAGGTATAGACCCACCAGTTGACCCAGCTTTGTATAAGCATTGTAGAGTTGGGCGACTTGTACAGACTTTGGGAGTTCTGTGGTTTTGCCAAGGCAATGCTTGCAGGCACGGAAGCACCATTGGGTTCTTCTATGGCCTACTTTGTTGAACTGGGGGGGGGGGGGGGGGGGGGGTATTTTTGTTAGATGTTCTATATAAAGGAAGATAATGCAGAAATAAGGTGTTGCTTAAAATAGAGTATTATGGTACATAGGGCTTGTTTCTGCATTTGTGGACATCAATTACTAACTAAAGCCAGTAGATGGAAGTCAAGGAATGCATTTTTTTTGGTACGACAGGACAATGTTTGAAGGCATAGACCTTCTTTTGGAAATAATTGAGAAATGCAGACATGCTGATAAATGGTGTACATTTACTTAAAGTAGAATTATAGGAAACACAGCCCAGACAAGATCACCATACCTCCCCACCCAAGCCCAGCCAAGGCCGCCTGATACAGTCTGACCCTAGTGGGGGTTTACACAGGGGGCAAGGAATAACCTAGGGGGCAATTGGCTCTCCCCTGTAGCGACGCCACTGGTCCCTTCTCCCTGTGGGCGGCGCTGCCCTCCTGAAAAATTCTGCCCAAGGCAAATGCCTTGTTTAACTGGCGGTAGATACACCCCTGATCCCCCTGCTATTATTTTATTATGTCCAATAGGTGTGAAGAGTCTTTATTATAGGCAGATAATGAGGCTGTTGTGTGTTGTGTCTATACGCAGTATATTGTGAGCCCCTGGTTGGCAGGACCGTAGACAGTGTGTACAGGCGTACCTCAGTTTCCGAATTTAATGCGTTCTGCAGAACTTTTCGTATTGCGAAAAATTCGTAAAACGAAATGCGGTTTCCCATAGGAATGCATTGAAAACCAATTCATTCGTTCCAGAGGTCAGAAAAAAGTAAAAAAAAATTATGCATTTTATCTGTTCAAAACTCTTTATAAAGTGAACTTTAACCCCTCACCTACAGGGCACTTATACCCCCTTCCTGCCCGGGCCAATTTCCAGTTTTCAGCGCTGTCACACTTTGAATGACAATTGCGCGGTCATGCAACACTGTACTCATATGACATTTTTATCATTTTTTTGTGACAGATTTTTCTTTTGGTGGTATTTAATCACCTCTGGGTTTTTTATTTTTTGCTAAACAAACCAAAAACCACTGAACATTTTGAAAAAAAAAATTTTTTTCTTAGTTTTTGTTATCAAATTTTGTAAATAAGTGATTTTTCTCCTTCACTGATGTGCGCTAATGAGGCTGCAGTGATGGGCACTGATAGGCTGCACTGATGGACACTGATAGGTGGCACTGATGAGGAGGCACTGGTAGGTGGCACTGATGGGCATTGACAGGCATCACTGATGGGCACTGAAAGGCAACACTCATATATGGCACTGATATATGGCACTGATAGGCGGCACTGACTGGCACTGTTAGGTGGCACTGATAGGTGGC